CCTCCCGGGCCCCCGCCCCCCCCGGGGGCCCTCCCCCCGCCTGCCGGGCCGGGGCTCTGCAGCTGAAGTGCAGCGCTCGACGTTACTACCCTGGCCTCCCCCTGTACGGCGTGTGGGCTGTGAGGGGAGGGGAGAGGGCTTTCGAAGGGTGAGGTTCGGCGTACGGGCTGTGAGGGGAGGGGAGAGGGCTTTCGAAGGGTGAGGTTCGGCGTACGGGCTGTGAGGGGAGGGGAGAGGGCTTTCGAAGGGTGAGGTTCGGCGTACGGGCTGTGAGGGGAGGGGAGAGGGCTTTCGAAGGGTGAGGTTCGGCGTACGGGCTGTGAGGGGAGGGGAGAGGGCTTTCGAAGGGTGAGGTTCGGCGTACGGGCTGTGAGGGGAGGGGAGAGGGCTTTCGAAGGGTGAGGTTCGGCGTACGGGCTGTGAGGGGAGGGGAGAGGGCTTTCGAAGGGTGAGGTTCGGCGTACGGGCTGTGAGGGGAGGGGAGAGGGCTTTCGAAGGGTGAGGTTCGGCGTACGGGCTGTGAGGGGAGGGGAGAGGGCTTTCGAAGGGTGAGGTTCGGCGTACGGGCTGTGAGGGGAGGGGAGAGGGCTTTCGAAGGGTGAGGTTCGGCGTACGGGCTGTGAGGGGAGGGGAGAGGGCTTTCGAAGGGTGAGGTTCGGCGTACGGGCTGTGAGGGGAGGGGAGAGGGCTTTCGAAGGGTGAGGTTCGGCGTACGGGCTGTGAGGGGAGGGGAGAGGGCTTTCGAAGGGTGAGGTTCGGCGTACGGGCTGTGAGGGGAGGGGAGAGGGCTTTCGAAGGGTGAGGTTCGGCGTACGGGCTGTGAGGGGAGGGGAGAGGGCTTTCGAAGGGTGAGGTTCGGCGTACGGGCTGTGAGGGGAGGGGAGAGGGCTTTCGAAGGGTGAGGTTCGGCGTACGGGCTGTGAGGGGAGGGGAGAGGGCTTTCGAAGGGTGAGGTTCGGCGTACGGGCTGTGAGGGGAGGGGAGAGGGCTTTCGAAGGGTGAGGTTCGGCGTACGGGCTGTGAGGGGAGGGGAGAGGGCTTTCGAAGGGTGAGGTTCGGCGTACGGGCTGTGAGGGGAGGGGAGAGGGCTTTCGAAGGGTGAGGTTCGGCGTACGGGCTGTGAGGGGAGGGGAGAGGGCTTTCGAAGGGTGAGGTTCGGCGTACGGGCTGTGAGGGGAGGGGAGAGGGCTTTCGAAGGGTGAGGTTCGGCGTACGGGCTGTGAGGGGAGGGGAGAGGGCTTTCGAAGGGTGAGGTTCGGCGTACGGGCTGTGAGGGGAGGGGAGAGGGCTTTCGAAGGGTGAGGTTCGGCGTACGGGCTGTGAGGGGAGGGGAGAGGGCTTTCGAAGGGTGAGGTTCGGCGTACGGGCTGTGAGGGGAGGGGAGAGGGCTTTCGAAGGGTGAGGTTCGGCGTACGGGCTGTGAGGGGAGGGGAGAGGGCTTTCGAAGGGTGAGGTTCGGCGTACGGGCTGTGAGGGGAGGGGAGAGGGCTTTCGAAGGGTGAGGTTCGGCGTACGGGCTGTGAGGGGAGGGGAGAGGGCTTTCGAAGGGTGAGGTTCGGCGTACGGGCTGTGAGGGGAGGGGAGAGGGCTTTCGAAGGGTGAGGTTCGGCGTACGGGCTGTGAGGGGAGGGGAGAGGGCTTTCGAAGGGTGAGGTTCGGCGTACGGGCTGTGAGGGGAGGGGAGAGGGCTTTCGAAGGGGGAGGGGAGGGGAGAGGGCGTCTGAGGCCTACTGCTAGCACTTGCGCTGCTGGTGGGACCTTGCGGCGAGATGCAGAGGACCAGGCGCGGGGGGGAGGCCGCGGGAGAGGTCACAGCTGCCCTCGTCCTGCTGGGCCCCGTCTGTGTTTGCTCACACGCAGCCCAGCGGGGCCTGTCCCGTCTCGTGGGCTGTGAGTTGGCAGGAGACGGGTCCCGGGCCCGGCCCGATGTGTCTGCACACGCCTAGGCCAGGCTGTGCCGGCCGGCCGGGGCGTGGGAGGAGTCCCTAGCCAGGCAGGTGCGCTTGCCCCCGCGGGCGGGCTGACCCGTACGGGAGGGGCGAGTCCCAGCGCCTTGCCGTGGGCAGTGCTCTCAGGACCGCACGCCCTGGAGGTTTTGTTGCTGTGAAAGAGCGCAGCCCTCTGGCGTCAGATTGTGCCCCTCCCCCAGGCCGGGGGCACCCCGCAGTCCCAGCGCGGCCCCGCTGGATGGCGCTACGCGATGGACCCAGCGGGGTCTGGCCCCCGGGGCCCTTTGCCGGGGGAGCTGGCACCCAGCAAAGTGAACCCAAGCGTGTGTTCCCACCGCGGCCCGCAGGTAAAACGCTGCGAGGCCCGTAGGCCTGGGGCCGGCCGCCCCCTCTCCTTGCCCTGCGGGGCTCGGGGCAGCTCCGCTCTCCTGGCCTGCGAGGGACCGACCGCCCTGCCGTGTTCTCCCAGCATCCCCAGCCGCTGCTCCCCCTCCAGCTGGGGGTCTTTGGGGGTTTGGAGCCCCTGCCAGCCTCGGC